TTTTAGCCACTCGGGCCTCCTGTGAACTTCCCACCAAGTAGTGGAGAGGGACGCAATTCTGCCATGTCTGTCTTTCTCCTGGCCCATCCCCTGCCAGCCACTCTGCCTGCACATGGTGTTCTTCAGTTCTGCCACTAGAGGGCACCCATGAGCCAGATGCTCTGCCCTGCCCTGCCCTGCCCTGGTCTGGCCTCCCTGGGACTCAATTCCCAGGATTCCAGGAGTAGGACAAGTGGGTGCACTCAGATCCTCAGAGCTGAGTCCCTGTCTGGTACCCTGTGCTCTGGATCTCATCCCCAACACTCTCTCTGCCCAGCACACAGGACCCACTCTCCCCTTGGGCCCCTCCACTGTGAAGGTTCTCCGAGCTGCTGCCAATACAAACTCCTTGGGGAGTTCAAAATAGAACGATGACCTGGATGCCCAGGCCTGTCACCCCAGCCACTCGGGAGCTGAGGCACGGGGACAGAAATTAAAGGCTTGCCTGAACTACAGTGTGAGTCCAAAGTAAGGCTGGACCACTTAACAAGAGCCTGTCTGAAAGAGTAAAGGGGATCTGAGTTCAATCCTCAGCGCTGCAGAAAAGTGACCCAGGGGCTGGGGATGTAGCTCAGATGACAGAGGGCTTCCCTAGCATGCACGAAGCCCTGGACTGGATCCTGGCACAGAATAAACCCCGTGTGGTCAGCACACCACCGTAATCCCAGCATCCGGAAGGCGAGAGGATCAGAAGCCAAGGTTATCCTTAGCTACATAGCGAGTTCAAGGCCAGCCTGGGCTATATGAGACTCTGTCTCAATAAACAAAACTTGATGTTCAGACGCTCCCCCATAGACCCAGGGATACTATTTAAACAAATAGTCTGTGCGAGACCAGAGCATCCGTGGACCCCTGAGGTGGGCAGGCTTGTCTTCAGGGGACCCCTGAGGTGGGCAGGCTTGTCTTCAGGGGACCCCTGAGGTGGGCAGGCTTGTCTTCAGGAGACCCCTGGGCTGGGCAGGCTTGTCTTCAGGGGACTCCTGGGCTGGGCAGGCTTGTCTTCAGGGGACCCCCGGGCTAGGCAGGCTTGCCCTCAGTGTTCACAGAACCCATCATAGGAAGCAACATGGCATAGGACACAAGGAATAAAACAAACCAGGCTGGGAAACACAGATCCCAGGGCCCAACCCCTTCCAGAATCTACTTCTGCTGAAACGAAACCTCCCATCATGCTCAGCAAGGGCTCATAGGTTGGGGTTTGGAAGCCACATCTTCAGCTGTGCTGTGCTGCAGAGAAGCCTTGAAAAGGTGGGACCTAGCATACAGCCATTAGGGCACGGGGGTATGGCTTCAGAAAGAATTGTCATAGTTCTCTTGGGACCAGTGAAGGGTGTGTAATGCAAAGGTCAGCCAGCCCCTCCCTGTAATCTGGCCTCCCATCTTTTCTTTTTTTTTTTTATTTATTTATTTACTTAACTTTATTATGTTTGTTAGTGTGAAGGTGTCAGATCTCATGGAACTGCATTTTCAGACAGTTGTGAGCTGCCATGTGGGTGCTGGGAATTGAACCCGGGTCCTCTGGAAGAGCAGTCAGTGCTCTTAAATGCTGAGCCATCTCTCCAGCCCCCCTGGCCTCCCATCTTTAAGGGGGGACTTTAGTATCACAAGACACAGCCACCAAGGGCCTCACTAGAGACCAGAGATGGACTACAGCGCCTCCAGCAGGCCTGGGCTTTCAACCTCTCCATGGTGACTTACACATACCTCTTACTTGTGCATCTGAAATCTTGCAGCCATCTCTCCAGCCCATTTTTAATGTACGTATCTATTCACATTTAAAATAAACGAAAGAGGGGCTGGAGAGATGGCTCAGAGGTTAAGAGCACTGGTTACTTCTCCAGAGGTCCTGAGTTCAATTCCCGGCAACCATAGGGTGACTCAAAACCATCCGTAATGAGATCTGGTGCCCTCTTCTGGCCTGCAGGAATACATGCAGACAGAACACTGTATACATAATAAATAAATAAAATGAAAAAAATGAGAGAGAGAGAGAGAGAGAGAGAGAGAGCGCAAGAGGGACAGAGTGTACATGCTACACATGTATGTTCCAGAGAAGAACTGGGAGAGTTCTCTCCTTCTAGCACTTAGGTTCTGGAGACTGAGCTCAGATCCTCAGGCTTGTCAGCAAAAGCCTGCACCTGCACGCCCAGTCTTCCTTTCTCCATGAGCACTCAGCCTCGGTCATTCTGTCACAGCAACACGCACTGGACTGACATGCACTGACATAGCACAATGGGCAAGCATCGTGAACGTGCTGGGCACCACAGCAGACACCCAGGGGACAAGCAGTACGGAGACAGCGGCCTCAAGCTACAGCACAGCTTGCATCATGAGGAGAGGCAGGGAAGAGGAGCACCCAGAGCCAGCCTCTGCAGGACAGTACCCAGGCCAGGCTCCCAGATCATGTACCCCAGCCTTGACCCTCACACCCACCAGCCCTGGGGTGGGGTGGGGGGCTCCGAGCTGCATCTCACCCCCACAAGGCAGCTACACTTCGGATGCACAAGACCCCACGGCCAGGAGTAAAACAAGCGTCAGACACTGACTGTGGGTTCTGAAGTTACTGCCCACTGCCAGCCAAGGACCAGGCATCCAGCCTGAGGGTGCGATCCAGGCTCCAGGGGAAGATAGAGAAGAGAAAGTTAAAGGTGCCCACCTGTGGGGAATGGAGGTGGTCCCTCAAAAGCCAGATGCAAGGGCACCCTGGAACTGAGGATCACAGCGGTCAGGAGTAGGGAAGGGGGTAAGCTTGGGGACACAAGAACCCAGAATTCTGAGGGCCAGTGCACCTGAGGACTCCAGTAAAGTCATGAAGGTGCATATTATGGTCTGCACCTTACAATGGGGAAGCAGGGGCTCCCAGAAGATAAGCTTGCCTCAGATTCATGCCAAGCAGAAAGCCATGGCTCAGGGGCATACTATGCATGCCTGGATCCCAGATCCTCCAGGATGGGACGGCTGGACAGAGGGTCTGTCCATCTTCAGCCACAAACTGTAGGCTACGGATAAGGCACGGCCGCCTCTATCTCAGCTTGGCACTGGGTGTAGCAACACTGGAAAGCCCCCCTGCACTGCTGCTGTGGCACCACAAGGGGGCGCTCCCAAGCCTGCCCAATCCAGGGATTCTGAGAGTTTCTTGGTCAAGTCCTGATTCAGTGAACCTCAGCAGGCCTGGACTGCCCATTACGGCTGACTGACTGATTCTTTCTATCTGAATTCTCAAATACCAATATAAGCGTTATTCATCCCTCTTAGGCTTTAGTGGACCCGTGTCTTACTGAGGTAAAGTCAAAGCAAAATCCCCCTGACTCCTAACTGCTCTCCTCTGCCCTCTGCTGGCTGGATCATCACAGCATCTGGCCGCAATGGCGCTCCAGCCCTGGTTCTGCCTGCATGGGTTCTAGTCCACTTGGCTGGAGACCGCCAGCAAGCCACTGACCCCTGAGCCTCCCTCCAATCCCCAAACACAGGGGACAGCACCAGGACCTATCACAGAGCACAGGCATGCATAATCCAGAGCCAACAGACCCCAGTGCGCTATCACTACAGCACTCATGGCCACCACAATCCCCGCGGCTCGTGAGTTAGTAATTAACCACATACTCTCTGGCTAGCCCGGCCCTCACCACCATCATTAATTATCCTCATTTTATCCAAATCTACCGAGCTGAGGACCATGTCTGGGATTCAGAAGACCCTGCTGTCAGACTTGTTCATCCTTGGGTTTGTGCAGTTACAATGTACACTCACGGAGCTCTGGGGTCCTGTTCTGTAACAATTCGCTCTGAGATTGAAACATTCCACCCTGCAGGAAGCTCCTGAAGAAACGAAGATGAACAATTCAAAATAGCTCCAGGAAGTCCCTGAAACTGAGCAGACTCACTAGGCCCCGCCCTGCCAGAGTAAACAACAAAAGCTGAGAATCCCTCAGAGACTGGGCAAAGCTGCAAAGAAGACTCCCAGGCCAGACCAGACACCTGGAAGAAGCAAAAACAGCCAAGCTGCCGGGAAGAGGTTCAGACCAACTGAGGCACCTGGATAGAACATTCTCCAACCTCATGAGCTGCCTGCAGGTCCCCAGCTTTGTGAGCTGTCACCATGCCGACGTGGCTTTGGTGATGCAGCTGTCTTTGGGTTGTTTCTGCTCCTGTAAATAACCTCAACAGAATGCACTGGTTCACCAGTGTGGACTCTGGTGGTATCTGTACTTTGGTCTGTTTGGACACTTTGGGTTTCCTATCTGGGGTGAGCACGTGTGCTGTGTCTCCCCAAGAAAAGGACTGTCACATAACAGGACCCAAGAACCCTGAAGACACTGGGTGGCATAGTGACAGCCCTCCTTGGTCAGGGATATTAGCGTGGGCTCCAAGGCCAGAGGAACCCCTGCAAGGCGAGCCAGTCCTATTCCGGTCTCCTGGAAGTATAGCATATGCCATCTAGTGTGGGCTCCCCAGCTCCCCATGGGCTGTCAGTAGGAGTAAATGCGACCGTCCTTTGTCAAACACCCAGGGCTGTTTCTACCTCTGCACCTGGCAATAGGGAGGAACCTCTGTGGGGCAGGCGACCTATCAGGTAGGCGCCGGACAGTACAGACAGAAGGGGCCAGGCAATGGCATGAACTCACAGCACCACCCAGGCTCACCAGCAGGAGTGTGCCAGGGGGTTGAGACACCAAACACACTCCTGGCATGTGAACAGGAAAGTGCAAAGATCCCGAGAGTGGGACCTTGGTCAGTGGCCATCATACCAGACAGTAGCCCTGGGAGCGGGAGACTGTGGAAGAGGAGGGGGTCGGGAGCATGAGGACTGGGTAAGATGAACACAGACACACTGTATCTTTCTCAGTCACCAGGGCTGGCCCTAAGCCTGAGCCAGGACCTCGTGGGCCAGGCAGGTGGAGTGAGAAAGCAACTACTTCCTGCAACCCAGGTCAGGTCTCCGCCTCTGTATCAGGAACTCACCTGCCCTCGCTCTCCAGGAATGCGGAGCTGTTCCCCTCCGCAAGGGCTGCACTGATGGGGGAGAGGCAGAAAGGTGAGGAGAAGGCATCAGAGTCAGAGTCGAAGGAGCTATCCCTGCTCACGCCATCAGCTGACAACTCCAAGGAGCCCTCTTCCTCCACGGCCTCGGGCCGTGCCTCCCGGCCATCCTCTGTCCCATCCTGTGAGCTGACAGTAGACAGGATCCCAGAGTCGCTGTGGACAGGTTGTAAAGTGGGCAGGGGCCCATCCAGCTCCGGGCCCTGCACCAGCTTCTCCCCATCCTCAGATGTAGGGCTGACATGCACAGTTCCCTGGGTGTTCTGGACCACCAGGATGTCCTCATCCTTGGGGGTCAGCAGAGGCCTTGGCTCTGTGGGAGAGGGCTGGTAGGGGGCTCCCAGGCTCGTGGTGCGCCGCCGCCGAGGGCGCGGTGCCTTGCGCACAGGGGAGCTCTCGGGAGTGATGTAGCGTAGGGCCTCCTCGTCTTGCTTCTGGATGCGAGAGTTGGGGACCCATGCCAAGATGAGGGTAGCCCCCAGCAGCTCATCCTTCTCCATGTACAGGCACAGGTACCCTGTGGGGGGTTAGTTGCAGAGCCGTCAGTCAGGGGTTGGGCAGGTGGCATCCTAGCTATGTGTTCAGCTCTAAGAGGAGGGAGGCAGATGGGCGACCCAGTCTTCCATCACCACAAGAACAGATCCAAGGTGGGCAGATGGGTAGCACATGGGCCCCCTTAGTCATGGCATTCTTTGTTTGTCTTTTTTTTTTTTTTTTTTTTTTTTTTTGGTTTTTCGAGACAGGGTTTCTCTGTGGTTTTGGAGCCTGTCCTGGAACTAGCTCTTGTAGACCAGGCTGGTCTCGAACTTTACTGTTGTTTTTGGGGAAAGAATCTGTCTGTTCATCAGTACCAAGCCCCAGGGAGGGGGAATGGCACCTCCCAACACAGCCCTGACTGTTCAGAGGTACCCCAGTTCCTGGGCTATGACACATCATCCCAGGCTTCCCCGATTCTGTGATTCAAAACCCTTTAGGCAACAGCCAACAGTAACCACATATATCCCCGGGGGCTCGAACTCCAGCCAAGTCTCCTTGGCATGCTTCTATGTTTGGCAGAGGCTGGGAAAATCAACCAGCTGTTCATAACAATCCAGCGATGGGGAGGCTGTTCCCACACCCTTGTGACAAGCCTTAAGGATAAAGATTTTAGAGAACCTAAAACATCCTTGACCTTCCATCAAAACATCACAATTAGAGCACAGGATCTCCCAAGGTAGCTGTGTTCCTTATAGCGATTGTTTTAGACTCTCGACTGAGTGGGCCCTGCAGCCCCTGATCTCGGCCTAGAACCCCACCCATGCTTCACATGTGAGGCTCCTGTCCCCAGCCTGTAGGATGGGGTCTAGTCCCCATGGGCCAGCTAGGACTTCACCAGAGAGACGCCCGCATGCACTCTCCCAGGAGGACCCTCAACCACCCGTCACGACTCATTCTCCTCACGCTTAAGCCCGTTGGAAATGCCTTTGCTCAGCTTCCACTCTGCTTTGCAAACTACTCTGAAGTTGCTTTCTCTAAGCCACAGATCCCAAAGTGTCCTAGGATGAGTCCCCTCAAGTCTAAGGGAACTCCTAGAATAGCTGAAGGTGGCAGTGGGGACCTGTGCCTCCCAGAACACTGCGCAGAGAAGGATCCATTCCTGGAGACCAAAAATATCCCAAGAATGGCCACAGATGACACACACGTCCAGCACAGTCTAGGGAGTTTCCCTTCCTGCTCTCCAGAGTGTTGGTCCCTGATGCCTCAAACTGCAGAGCCCAGGGGAGGGCAAACAAAAAAGTGTGAATCCTTGGGGAGATCCAGCCAGTCCCTCAGGCCTCGGTCCTCCCCTCCCTGCCTTCTCACCTGGGTGGTGCTCCCCAGGACCCTGCAGCCCCTCGGGTGCATGCACGCAGACATTGTTCTTGGAGTAGATGATCTCTCCATCCAGGATGGAGGGGGACCCGCCACTGCCCCCTGTGGTGAGGGTCAGGAGGTCCGAGGCCTTGGAGGAGGCCCTGCGAAGGAGGCGGCCCAGAGACATGGCCGAGCGCACGTTTCCATCCTCCGTGCGCTTTGGCCCAGGCAGGGCGTGTCAAGACCTGCAGGGGAGAAGAGAGGAGATGTATCGGAGATCACGGTCAGGGACCTGTGCTGCCCGGTGCCCTCAGAGCCCAGCTGGCATAGCGCATGTGAGGCCATGCTGCGCAGACTCCCTAGGCTCAACCTACAACAGACCACGGGCATCTGTGCACGCAGTTTTGAGCCTTACATTTCCACATGACTTAGAGAGCGGCTGCACCAGTGCCAGGCTTGGCTGCCAATGACCCTCAATTGCTTCTGAGAACCAAAGGGAGGAGGGGAGAAAGGAGGAGGAGGAAGAAGAGAAAGGAAGAGGAGACAGAGAAGGAGGAAGAAGAGGGAGAAGAGGAGGAGGAAGAAAAGAAGGGTACCGTTTCTCTGGCCCAGAAACTACGCAAGCCACATAAACAATGTAATGCTTTCTAATAGCCATGTTTGACAAGAGGGAAAACTATTGAAATTAATTTTAATAAGCCACTAAATCACAGATATTTTTTAACATCATTAAGATGAAAAAATGAGTAACGAGACATTTTACATTCAGACCTTGTGGGTCTGGTGTCCTGCTGCAACAGTCCTTGCCTGCCTCCTGGGGTGCCCAGAGCTGCCGGTTGTGGCCATGACCTCCAGGGGCTGCAGAGGCAAGTACAGACTCCTCCTGGCCCTTTCAACCCGACACTACTCAGGGAGCTGCATCAGCCCCAGACTTGGCTGCCAAGAGCACTCAGCTGCTTCAGAAAACCAAAAACATCCTCATGTGACACTGTTTAGCTACACTGAGGATAATCAAAAGAATGTGCTGGAAGCTTGGGAGGAGATTCCAAAAGCCAGGCTGTGGGCGTGCGGTGCATCCTCCTGCTGCTCGCCAAACAAGAGCTCAGGATTCCGGCAATCAGAGCAGCACGGGAGGAGGAAGCCCAGACTGCAGAGAGGCCTTCCTTCCCCTGTGCCCACTCCTGCTGGGAGGGCTGGGCCGGCGGGGTGTGCAGGCAACCTCCCTCCCTGTGTTCCTAGAGGCCTGGCTGCTTCTGAACAAGCCGGGGCAAATCTGCTCCCCATTAGCCAGGGCCATTTACTCTGGTAAGACAATTCTTATTTTCAAAACGTATTTGCTTTTTGCCTCTTTCCCCTAAATTAAACCCGCTGTCTGGTGTCTGTTTTCCATCACACTGAACGGAGGGACCCTCAGTCTGTCTTCGACTTTAAAACTCTTTGTCTCACTGGGCGTGGTAACATCTGCCTGTAGTTTCCGACTCTGGAAGAGGTAGGATGATTATAAGTTCGAGACCAGCCTGAGCTATGGACTACCACCTCGTCAAGGTGACAGTGGGGCAACTCAAAGGCTCAGCAGGTAAAGGCACTTGCTGCCAGCCTGATGACCTAAGTTTGATCGCTATGACCCACACAATAGAAGAGTGACTCCCAAAAGCATACCCAACCATCGTGTACGTACACACACATAGCGTAATAAAGCTTTTCATAAAATGTCCGGGATAGGGTGTCTCAGTGGTAGAACACTTGTCTGGCAAATACAGATCCTAGATGGATCTCCAGCACTGGGGAAGAAAAAAAAATCTAAGAAAAGTTATGATGGGCCAGGGGTGCGGCTCAGTTGGTAGACGGGGGCGTGGCTCGATTGGTAGACGGGGGCGTGGCTCAGCTGGTAGATGGTGGGGTGGGGGGAGTGGGGATGTGTGGCTCAGTTGGTAGATGAGGGCGTGGCTCATTTGGTAGACGGGGGCGTGGCTCAGCTGGTAGATGGTGGGGTGGGGGGAGTGGGGATGTGTGGCTCAGTTGGTAGATGAGTGCCTGCCTAACATGCAGAAAGCCCTGGGCTCCATTCCGAGTGTTGCATAAACCCTTGTGTGGTGATGCATGCCTGCAATCCCAGCAATCACTTGGGAAGTGGAGGCAGAAAAATCTGAAGTTCAAGACCATCCACAGCTACATGGTGAGTTTAAGGTTATATGAAACCCTGTCTCCAAAAAGGGGAATGAGGAAGAGGAAGGAGGGATGGAGGAAGGAAGTTATGGAAGATATATGAAGAACACACTGCCCTAAATAACACGATCCAAGATATGTTTGCATCTTCTATGTCCAGTCTAAAAATACAGCAGTTTAAAAATGTAAAAACCCACCCACTGGGACGTTATCTTTCTTTAGGTTACATTACAAACACACTTCCCTGGTGTCGGAGATTGAACACATTCCCCGGGGCTCATGTGTTGTCCTAACTCCCAGCTCAGATTGATGTTATCCAACAGGAACTCAAGCTGACCCACCTTCATAGCTATGTGGCTTGAAGAAGGCCACCTACAGGCCTGGGAGATAGGCCAAGGGGTCATTTCCCTCTCAGCCTAGGAAGGAACGAACTTCCTTGGCCTTGTGCTTCTAGCTTCCAAAGGTATGAAAGAATAAATGCTTCCTGTCCAAGGGCCCTGTCGTAGTTTGAATGTAACTGGCCCCCGTAAGGAGATATGGCTTTGTTGGAGTAGATGTGGACTTGGTGGAGGAAGTGTGTCACTGTGGGGGTGAGCTCTGAGGTCTCCTCTGCTCAAGCTCCACTTAGTGTGACACTCAGTTCACTTCCTGTTGCTTGCTGATGGAGACATAGCACTGTAGTTCCCTCTCCAGCACCATGTCTGCCTGCACACCCTGCGGCACCATGGCGACAGAAGACCAAACCTCTGAAACTGTAAGCCAACCCATTAAATGATTTCCTTTATAAGGGTTGCCATGGTCACGGTGTCTCTTCACAGCAATAGAAACCCTAAGACAGATACGTTCTGAGTTTACATCTTACGGCAGCCTGGGACTGTTAACACAGTTAGAAATGGAAAATGCCAAGCTCTGCCTTGTGTGTGCTGCTGGGATCACACCCAGGGCCCATGTGTGCTACTGAGGATCACACCCAGAGCCCCCACGTGTGCTGCTGGGATCACACCCAGGGCCCATGTGTGCTGCTGGGGATCATACCCAGGGCCCCATGTGTGTGCTGCTGAGATCACACCCAGGGCCCCATGTGTGTGCTGCTGGGATCACACCCAGGGCCCCATGTGTGTGCTGCTGGGGCTCACACCCAGGTCCCCAATTATATACTGCTGGAATCACACCCAGAGCCCCACGTGTGCTGCTGGGATCACACCCAGATCCCCACGTGTGCTGCTGGGGATCACACCCAGGGCCCCATGTGTGTGCTGCTGGGATCACACCCAGGGCCACATGTGTGTGCTGCCTGGGCTTACACCCAGGGCCCCAATTGTATACTGCTGGAATCACACCCAGAGCCCCACGTGTGCTGCTGGGATCACACCCAGATCCCCACGTGTGCTACTGGGGATCACACCCAGGGCCCCATGTGTGCTGCTGGGATCATGCTTCGGGCCTCATGCACACAGGGCACTAGTCTGTCATTTAGCTGCTATCTCCAGCCTTTGTGTCCAGGCCAGGCTGTCATTGAACTCAAGATCCTCTGGCCTCAGTGTGTGGTTAGCTTTTGTTGCCTTCACACAACCTTGAGTCACCTGAGAAGAAAGAACTTCAACTGAGAAAATGCCTCCATCAGACTGACCTGTAGGCATGTCTGTGGGAGTTTTTTTTTTTTTGATTAATGATTAATGTATGAGGGCCCAGCCCACTTTGGGCGGTGCCATCCCAGGCAGACGGCCTTGGGCTGTGTTAAGAAAACAAACTGAGCCAGTCAGGAGCCAGTAAGCAGCTTGCTCTGCGGCTTCCGGTTCCTGTCTTGAGTTGCTGCCCTGACTTTGACTGCGATGTAGAAGTGGAAATAAACCTTCTCTCCACTAGACGCTTTTTTAAAAAATATTTTTTATGGTTTATTTAATGTACATTGGTGTGAAGGTGTCAGATCCCCTGCAATTGGATCTTCAGGCAGTTGTGAGCTGCCATGTGGGTGCTGGGAATTGAACCCAGGTCCTTTGGAAGAGCAGTCAGTGCTCTTAACCACCGAGCCATCTCTCCAGCCCCCATAGACACTTTTGATCCTGGTCTGTCACAGCAATAGAAGGCTAACTAGGACGCTTGCCACACCTCCCCCTTCCATCCCCCTACCCCTCCACCCCCCAATCCGTGCCAGGATGGCAGGCGTGCATCACCACGCCCTGCAGTTGCATTTACCTACTTTGGAGGACCTGAGGCTCCCATTTCCCAGGATTCCTCTGACTTCCTTTCTCCCTCCCAGAACTCTTCTCAAGCCACAAATCCACTACATGGTTTGTCTTTTATCCTGCTTTTCTTACGGCTTTGATTTTTCAGGAAACCACCATTGCTATCTCAGAAAGCCTGCCGCGCTGTGGTTGGGCGTCTACCTGGGAGAGCCTGGGAGATGACTGGCAGCCATTCCACAGTGAGCACCTAGACCGGTTTTATTACTGCACGTGCTTTTATCGGTAACTGATAAAAGCAGGAAAAGCAACAATAATAAATTCATTTTGCTGGGATGCTCGGGACCCTTAGCTGTGGCTGGAGGCCTATGTGTTCACCGCTCCTGTTAACACCCTCCACGCAGACACATCCATGCCGCACACCTGAGGAACATGTGTGTGCACTCACACACAAGGATCCATGCATCTCACTACCAGCATGCTTCGAGGGTGCAGGTCACCATGGGCGCAGTCCAGTGAGAAGCAGGGTGGCAGGGACCCCTAATTCCTCCATGCTGTCACCATCACCCTATGGACAGCACCAGGAACAAAGTGCATGACAACAGACAGCCCAACCTCCAATGACAAGCAGCAGGACTCGGTTAGGGACCGTTGCCAAGACCCCAGATGTTCTCACCAGGCACTGGCTGACATGGCATCGGGGCCTTCAGTTCTGAGCCCACAAAACCATAGCTTGTTTCTGAGGTGTAAACCTCCAGCAAGTAGCCACACGGTGCCTGTGACCTCACTGGGAACCTGGTCAGGCATGTACCCTGCTTTTGCGACTGTGAGAGATGACTGAGGTCCATCTCAGGTCTCTTCCCTGTCCAGCCAAGGGCCAGAGCTGCCCGCAGGCC